GTTCTACGAAAACATTCAAGTCACCCTCATGTCATCCGAACTGCGTCGCCAATTGACAATACCAATGATCGATCTTACTCTTACCCCTTTCCCTAGTCCAAGGGGTTGTATGGAAAGGTATCCCGACGGTAAATGCGTCGCCACAGGCAATACCTGGATATTCGATTCTATATCCACGTTCAGTCTATACAAAGTATAGAAAAAAATCGAAAATGCAGTTTATTTCTATCATCCAAATGTTATAACAAGATATTGCAAAATATGCTAGAGGAAATTCTCATCCATTATCGATTTATCGAACCTCTCACCTTCCTTTATGCAGCAAAGGTGCCCATGCATAGCCGACACAGTTCTCAACGCCGTTCTCTTTCTTTTTGTTCATGTCGCAACTTATGTGATAGAAGGAAAATAGTATATGGTGTTTCGCGTGCAATTTTGTGGGTAGCTTAATCTTGATTTCCTCATACCAAGAAGGCACTGCGCTGTGGTGCAACACGGCGCACGACGCTCGTACGCATAGCAACGGTGAACCCGGTCTCCCATAAATCACCTATTTAAAAAATAGTAGAAGGAAGATGAAGCCACTTTCTTGATTTTCAAATTACTTGATATTTTTTATCGCATACTCGTAAAGGCTTGGCGTTCTCGCCGTCATCGTCGCGGAGCTCCACGATGCACGCTATGTTCCTAGCTCGGGTAAACATTTTCTGACTATCGAAATTGAGCGTCTGCGGATACACGTACAGATGATTGATGTACGTCGTGTATGGGTGCACATCCCTCTCGGAGGTGCTCTCGAACTCGGCGACCTCGATCGTCGGCTCCACCGTTGGTGGGATTGGAAATGGCTTTAACGGTGCCAGGCACGTCGACAATGTATCTAGAAATCGTATTTTATGTATCGTATACCTGGAATCGTTCCAAACTATTCACTACAATTTTTCTTTTCATAGCAATGAGAATTATTGAAGCTGTTACTTATTACGAAAAATTCGTTAAATTATTTAGAATTAAGTTACAAATTGTATGATGAACAAAAATTGTGTGATTCTTGCATACTAATGCTGCATCTTTAAGTTTCTTCAAAACTTATTATCATATATGATGAAACCGGAATTTTTTTATAGAAAATACACGTTTATTGTATGAAAATGGTAAAAAATAGTAGTTAGTAACTTCAAAAATTAAATCGAGTATCGATTTAAGTATGTGGTTTTACTGTTTCAATACTGTATTTCAAATAATCAACGCGGTTTGTCGAGTTGGAAAAAAGATGCAAAATCCACACAGAAAGATAATTAGACTACCAAGATTCAGCCTGACTGAAGATAGCATCTTCTCTATTCAATCGTAAAATATATTAATTGATTACGCACTTTCAGGAATGTCCGTAATAGGCTCTATTTTAATTTTCAGCCAACCAGGTATCACAGTCAATTTGCTAAGCTTCTCGGGCCTGCGAGCAAAATTTTGCTGATATAACGTTTAATAGCGTACACGTGTTGAACTCCATAATGCATAAAACTTTGAATTATATGAATTTACTATTAATACATACTTCCTGTACTCCGAAAGAAGTTTTAGTAGCTCCTCGTCTTTTATCTTATTACCCTCCTGCCTGTATATTGCTGGAAAATCCGAGGATGTATCCAACTCGCTGCTATACAATCTAAACAGTGGTCTTGCAGCCCACGCAAACGGCATTCTATAGTTCCCCAGTCTGGAAAAAAAAAGAACATTTGTCTCGTACAATCAAGCTTATACATCTCCTTAATTATTAAGTATTTGCTTAAAAACGTAAGGTTTACACTCGACGTTATATTAAAAAATATCTGAATGATTTATAATCTCACCTTTGGCAACACGCTCGGACTTGTTTGTGCACCTTAAAGCCCAATCTTGGATCCTTGGTGGTTCTCAAATATGGCTCTGAAGTCTGATATATGTTTCCTTGAAGCAACTTGTCTATTCTTACGACGAGAAATATATCTGGGTGAGGATTACTAATGTTGAATATAGCCTGCAACAGTAATTGTCTTCATAAATTCTTATTCTATCAATAGATTCACATCCTGAACATTTATATACACTTCAGAATTATCAATGTCTTATTCTTCCTTTTTTTTTGTACTTAAACAATCGTACTTGTTTCGGATATTTAATCCAGTCCGAAGGAATGTTTTTCAATTCCCCGGGAAGAGTAACGTCCTCCGTTTCTGTCGTAATTCCCGCAGGACCAAGCTCTCTCGCCATGTCTCGCACTATTTCATGATTAACATCGAAGTGAAAGTTCTCCGTGAGTTTTCTGCCATTTCTTGCGTCGAAAAGACTCAACACTGTATGATAAGGCTCCACTTGACAAAGAGATTCCTTTTCGTCGATAGGTGCTTGCAGTCTAAATTTAAGACTCTCGCACTTGACGAGGATCCTGTGGCCAAATTGCTCCTTGTAAGGGTCTACGTTGTCGGCAGACTGCCCTACGTGCGTTTTAGCATGGGGTATGTAAGGATACACACTGAACAGTCTTTTTCTGTTCTCTCTCCTGGCTAAAGCAATGCTGGTGTCAGTCTCCCTGGAGTATTTTATTAGTTGCGGATTCATACTCTGCTCAAGACCCTTCAATGTGCCATAAACCTAAAATCAAAGGTACGTTAAACTCACTTTAATGAACAATTCCCTCTTGTCGCATCTTGGATAAACTTTCACCGTTTAAAAAGTTCAGATTTAATAACATTAAGATAATCTTGTGCTACCTGCATAGGTTGTGGCGACGGCGGAGGTGTATTACAGGTTCTCTCTAGCGAAGCAGCACGCTTTTCCTCCTGCTGCTTGTAATGTTGTATGACGGAGCTGAGCTTCAACAGCCAATCTTGCATATCGGCCTCAGTATCGGCGGCCAAGGTAGACTTGTGACTGTCACTCATCCGCAGCTCGAAGCAATATCTCCCGCGCTTCGGATTCCTCACGACCTCCGTGCAAAAGTCCATCACTATCGTCAGCTTCGCCTCGCCCTTCCTCTCGTCTTTGAAAAACTCGAGTATATACGTGCCGTCAACCTCCTGCCTGAGATGGCAGAAGCGTCTCTTGAACGATTTCGACCCGATGTGAGAAAACATTCTATCCGTGCTACTAATCTCAGGCCCCTTCATCAAGTAACCTTCTTTCGTTATGCCGTCATTCTTCGTCAAGTCCTGCGAAAATGCACGCGGATCACATTTTTTGGCTCTAAACACGCGACGGAAGTACAGCAATATCGGGACGATATCAAACAACCCGAATTTCTAAAGACCTGAAGCCGATCTGCAAATCTTACGGAACAAAAGGACACTTTACCTCATCCACTTGATCCACCTCGGTATCGATTTCGTACACCTCGTCCTTCAGTTCGTCCGCTTTCGATATTCTGGAAATTTACGAAATAAATGGCATCTATACACATAAGAGCGGACAGATTAATCCCAATTAATCGCGAGCACCGAACCCGCGTACCTTGGCAACTCGAGATAAGTCCCGCTGTACGCCGCGTACTTGTAATGCACAAGATTCCAATTGGACGTATAGCTGGATAGACACTCCTTCGTCAGGAGACTCTCCTCTCCTTCCTCGCATTCCGTAATTTGCTGCGCCGTCGGTACCACGCTGCGATATCTCCTTGGCAGAACCACTTGCTGCGGGGAAAAAGCGAATTTCACAACAGCAATCATTGACACATAAATAATCAGTAGTGGCTATAATTATCTACCGTTTTAAAAAGTACACTTTTTTAACAAGATACTTTTACGTTGTAGAATTAAATTGTGTATCAATTATATTCTTTGCGTATTTCGCAACTTTATCGCTGTATCCTATTGCCATTCTTGCTTTGTTCGCTTATCTATAACTGGAAGGCACGTCGGCAACACGCTGATATAGATAAGCAAACGCGAAAGCCACAACTTACAGAAATATCATCCTGGGGGTACAGCAGCAGCTCCCGCTGAGGATCGTTTTGCAGCAGCGTCTTATTCTTCAGCACGAAACTCTCGAAGTCAATGGGCTCGACCAAATGCGGCTTATTCTGCAAATAAACACGGCACGTTTTAAATTCCGTAAAGCCAGCGGCTGCGGTGAGCGCGACATCTCAGGCGACCTCGTTCCCGCTCGACCGGACGCGACGTGGGACGACCAGGCTGCGAAACTGGGACAACGAAATCTCGAGCACCCGACGATTGTTTACACCGTGCTCGCGCGACGGGGCCAAACTCGCGGGGACGACTCGAAAGTCGGTCGGTCGGTGTCTCTTTCTCTCTCTCTCACCTGCACCGTGCTCTCGCGGACGACCTGGGACACGGTCTCCCGCAGCTGGGCCGCCATGCCGGGCTTCCCCAGGCCGCGCGTAAACTTCCTCTCGCTCGCCATCCTCGTCGACGCCGCGCGACGCCGATCGGGCCGTCCCGGCTCGGTCTCGCCGCCGTCTGAACCCGATGCCGCCGCAGCAGCAGCCGCCGTGATCGCGCCGCCGGCCGCGTCGTCAGGCCGCAGCATCGGTCCTCACCGTGCCCGGCCGCGCCGGGGCCGGGGGCCGGGGGACGATCGGGCGCATCTCTCGACGGTTGGAGAGGGACAGCCGCCTGCCGCGGCACGTCACAATCGATCAGGATCGCGCGAGCAACTCCCGTCGGCCATCACCGGCATTCACCAGTCGCGTTCCGTCCCCTTCCCGCCCCGCCCCGCCCCGTCCCGCTCCCGAGACGATCGCCGTCGGATCCTCCTCGCGGCGAGAGACGGTCTCTCCTCTCGTTTCCTCTCTCTCAGGACTGGAGTCCGCGGGGATCCTCTCTCTCTTCGCCGCTCTTAATCACGCGCGGGAGGCCGATCGCGAGACCGAGGCGACGGCGCGTCGGGACGAGGCGCAAAATCGCCGGGGATGACGATCGGGCGCGCGGGACGAAATCGCATTTTCCCGCGCGTTCCCCGCGAGATCGATGGCGGCCCGCGCCCGGCCCGGGACGGAGGATCCTCGCGAAACGGCGCCGCGACGTGAACGTCGCGCGGAGGCACGGAGAACGCCGCCGAGGAGGACGCTCCGTGAGATAAAAGCTCTACGAAGATTTATTAATAGATAAGCTCCCACTGTGTCAACGTAATTCGCGTCGACAGTCGTCGCGCGAGCCTTTAATCGATAGCTCGAGGTCGACAGTATCGATAGACGGACCGCCCTTTCGATTCTCTCTTCTCCAGTCGGATCCCCGACGTTCGTACGACTCGTTTGGATCTCGCCGAGATTTCGCGACTCCGGAGTGCCCAGGTTGCGATCGCCGGAGCTTGAGATTCGCCGTTATTCTTGCGCGAGGACATGACGACGGCGGCGAGACCGACCTTCGAGCCCGCCCGGGGAGGCCAGGGACGCGGCGAGAAGGACCTGAGCGCGATCTCCAAGCAGTACAGCAGCAGGGACCTGCCGTCGCATACGAAGCTCAAGTACAGGTGAGCGACGGAGTTGGGGGTGTCGACTTTTCTCATCGATCGACGACAATTGCACGGGTCACTTTCGCGCGGGGACGCGGAATCCGCGCCGCTGCCTCTCGGTCCGTACGCGTTGACGAGGGCCACTTTGAGGTTATGGCGCCCCAACGAGAAGTGACTTCGATCGACGCCGAATTGACGTCCGAATCGTCAGGTCAATGTCGATCCGACGTCGTTTCGACGTGCCGTTTCTCGTTGGGACGCCGTAATCTCACGGTGGCCCTCGTCGACGGGTTAAGAGAGGCAGAAGCGCGGATTCCGCGTTCTCGCACGAAAGTTTCTCACTGGGGTTTGCCTCGATGGTTCCTGAATCTACCTTCTTCTCCCGCTCTCCTTTGTCTCACCGAGCGATGAGTACGTTCTTTCTGTCACCTTAACAAGCATGTAATGATGCAAAGAAGGAAAATAAATAATTGAGAATTCTCGATGATGAAGGATAACAAGTAGCAGATGGGCTTGGAGGGTCCAACGCGGTGGACAGTGCGTAAGTTAACGTTGTAGCAGTCTTTAACTGCTAATAAGGTGCATTGTTATGAATTGATTTCGACTCTGCCTTGAGCCATTAGGCTTGTTTTCCGTTCCTACACTGGTGGACTAGTGCAATAAATTGGAGTAAGACAAGCATCTTTTTTTCTCATTCTAGCTTACTGCACTAGTTCACCAGTGCAGGAACAGAAAACAAGCCTATTATCAGCGATGCAATAACAAAACTGATCTCACGTTCCGCGGCAATAAGAGAGCTTGCTAGTTGGGTGACCTATAAGTAGCGTAACTTCGCACGAGGAGACCCAAGAAAGGCTGATGATCAGTTTGTAATGTGATCGAGACAGAAGTGATAATCTGAACTTGAGTGACAAAGGCTGGTATTCATAGTCAGATCTTACGTTCAAGACCGTCTTGAATTTATCTAAAGATGTCGTGTGGAACATTTCATTGGCTATGGAGTATCTAAAGATGATCTTAAGACGGTCTTGAATAGGAGATCTGACTAGGAATACTGTCCAAAGAGAAGTGAAGTCATCGAACCAGCTTAGAGAATGAACATTGACGTTTTGTGACAAAAAAATATTAAAATTAATGCTGCCCTTTCTCCCCTCTCCATCCCCTCCACAAGAATGGGGACGCGGGTATTTAAGGACTACCGCAACTCAAGGGAACTCGGTATCAGAGTCTCCCAGCCCTGATGAGGCAAACGGCAATGTTTTTGCGAACCATCCGGAAGCCATTACGACTGAAGAAGACAACAGCCGCGAAAGCTTGAAAGCCAATATTGAAATTAATACTATTCATAAGCAGAAGTAGTTGATTGACAATTGAGACTGAGGTATTTAAAGAACAGTCATAATTTTAAATGACTGCCTCGGCCAGCTGTCAATTATTTCTCACTATACAATACAGTCGAATGTATAAATAATGTATATGTCACTTGATAAGCATACGGCACGCAATAAGATACTAACGATCTTTGTGTTACTGGCACTTTGGACGGCCAGAAATGTAACGTTAATTTTATGATATTAGATACATTTTCACCTCGACGAGTCATTATCCCAGTAATAGCTTTTCACTTGCAATTGATTTTCTCAGAGTTTGCTTGTATTGATTCGCTATATATGTAGTTTGACTCGACGCATTATATGCTAATTGTTTATATTATTAGTTGAAACAGTCGATGAAGCCAATATTCTTTATTGTATCGAGGTCTACAAGATCCACTTGATAGTCGCGTAAATTTTGCCAGAGTTGGCTAAAGAGCTGGAAAAAAGAAATTAACAAATGTTAGATATGTAAAGAATATTTCGTATTAAGTTTTTAATTTGTTGTCTCTCGGCAGGGAACATGGTCAAAGCACAATCGAGGAGCTACGAAATCGGGACTTCAGAAAGGAACTGGAGGAGAGAGAGCGGACGGATAAGGATAAAGGTTCAGGCCGTCGTGCCATTGAACCTTCCAGAGAGTCGACTACGTCCAGTGCAAAGAGGCAGAAGATAGATCAGGTTCCCGCGGCCAGTTTAGATGCGGACGATCCACTCGATGAAGACGAGTCGGATTCTGACAGCGAGGAGGACGATGCTGCCGCGCTGCTGGCCGAGCTTCAGAGGATTAAGAAGGAGCGAGCAGCGGAACAAGCTAAGAAGGTAAATGCTGAGCCGCGTTATGTATTAAACTTGACTTACTGTTTTCATTCCCTTCGCGCAGCCCTTCAAGGGATAAAATGAAACATTATTTTGCAGGAAATGGAGAAGCGCCAGGAAGAGGAAAGAATACGCATGGAAAATATTCTCTCGGGAAACCCTTTGCTGAACTATTCCTCGCAGAGTGGAAGAGTGGATATGAAGGTGCGAAGACGGTGGGACGACGATGTTGTCTTTAAAAATTGCGCGCGCTCCGAACCCAAGAAGAAGCACGATGTGTTCATCAACGATTCCCTGCGAAGCGAATTCCATCGCAAATTTATGGAGAAGTACGTTAAGTAATTTATTAGATTGTAAGCGGCAACGTTGTAAATAATTTTCTAATGCATGTTAAGTCGAATAAAAGTACATTCACTCTCATCATTCATGAAGAAATCACGTCTCGTTATTGATCCTAAGCCGCTCATTTGGCAAAGTTATGTGATCAGACAGAAAATTATCTGTGTGCAACTCCTCGGTATTAATCTTGAATGATGAAATGGCTGTAAAAGAAACAGAATTTAATACGGAGATGTTAAATAATCATTCAGCTGAAAATTGAAACATCAAATCTATCGGTACATATCGATATTTCATTGATATCCTTCAAACACAGTAAAGAGTCTGTATTAATAGTTTACCTTAGTGTACTGACACCACAAATTAGCGTGTTACGAAAATAGAGAACGATTACAATCCTTATACAACAAAATACTGGTCGAAATATCAATGCGTATAATTATCAACTGAATGTCCATTTTCATTCGCCATCGAGTTAGCCTTCCTTGATCTATAGAACATGATGAAGTTATCCGTTTCGCGAGGACGAGGACGCTCTCAAAGGGAAGACTATTTTCAGAGAGGAGAAACAGAATTTTCGCTCTCGTAGCTCCTTCATTCCGTAACTTTTCGTGAGGTATGTACAGCCGAGAGTAATAAAAAAATAAGGCAGAGAGCGATATCTCCTCTCGATGGTTTATCTGTGTACAAATATGAGTTTCATGTATCCCCGACTGTGAATTCCTGCCAATCTACTCCCTCCTCTCCGCCTGCGTGCCCCGAGGTCCAGCCGTCTTACCGTTCCTCGTGTCCGCTCTCCGCACGCCCGTTGCGTGCGCGTGTGTGTTTTTCGGTAGCGGACGGCGCGATCCGGTCTCGGACGCGCCGCGCCGCGCAACGAATCGCGCGCTGGGTCAAGTATAACCGGTCCCGGGGGCCCTGCGTGGCCCTCGGGGCCCGCGCGCGGGCAGCAGGCAGTCTACCGGTGCAGCTGGTTATCGCGCGCGCCGGTAGACTTCTTGGCACCAACTTGACACAGACATGGCCCCAACCAACTTGACGCGCCCAGCCATCCCACAAAGAGACAGCGCAGCCCGGAGAAGAGCGCATCCGAAATTAACGCGGATCGACGCGGGCACCTCGCTCGGCAGAATACCTAATCGTCCGTAAAAATCGGAAGCGCTGTCCCGCTTGGGACGACCTGTAATTCACGTTAAGAATTCAGGAATTCGCGCGCTGGAATTCTACCGATTGTTTCATGTGCCGTGTAGTAAAGCACACACTTGGAGCATCAAAATACACAGGATATATAAAACATATATTAAAATGCACGTCACATTATAATACGTCAATATAAAAAACGTCAAGTTATAATAACATAAATAACAAAATTGTTTAAAATTGTTTGTTTAAAATGCGCTTCACAGCTGTAATTCTGGATAGAGTTCCATTCTATTTATCATTTTCTCTCGTATTACACACGGCAATACGAGAAACACATTTTAAGAATCAAGAACAAAATTTATATTAAAATACATCTGCTGAAATTGACGCAAATTGCAAATCACCCTAAGTGGAATTTAATACTCGAACAGTTTCTAACTTTCCACCCCTTTCCAGTTTTTAATTCTCCCAACTAGATACTAGATAATTTATTCAAATAGATTTTTCGATTAGAATCTACATATCGTATTTACGTATCATATTTCGAAATAGATTTGCATACTGACGATAAGATCAGACATTCGCTGGAGATTCCGTTGGAGAAATTCAGATTTGGAAATAAAATCTGGAAAACTGAGACTAATGCCGAATTTTGAAGATTTAATTTTGCACATTTAAACAGACAATTTACTTAAGGTCTCTTTAATTGAACGTCGTGCGGAAACATTTCTAACTTTATCTCTGCGATACTTTTTCAGAAAAACACCAGCGAGATTCTATAATATTAGGTGTACAAAAATTCATCAGTTGCCTGAAAGATGGTTTAAAGTTATAGAAAGCAACGGCGAATACTTTGATTGAACAATTTCATTTACTTTCTTTTAAAATAAACCCTGAATGTAGCTGAAAAAATTGGATTATTCATTTGTACAGTGGGGAGCAATGAGGTTGCGACACTTTTTTTTTGGATGAGTTTACGAACGCGCAAAAAAATTCAGGATGCGAATCCCTGTCCGCGCTCATGCGCGGTGAGTGATCATGGTGCTGTCAAATTTGTGTATACAATGTGTAACATAAATGTATATGCGGCGGCAAATCCATAATAAATAACATGATTATT